TTCAAAGAACAATCGCTGCCTATTGTGACAACAGAAAGGGAAAGAGAGAAAGAGAAAGAGAGAGAGGGAGAAAGAGAGAAAGAGAGAGAGAAAGAGAGAAAGAGAAAGAGAGGAGAGAGAGAGAGAGAGAACAGTCTAGGTAGGTAATTTGAACATTCGGAAGTAAAAAGCCATCATTTTCCATATAATTAAAAAGATTTAACATTCGGACTTTTATTTGACTCAGAACGTTTACATTCGAAGAAGAAAAAGTTTTCAAGAGAAGGTTTGAGAAAAGAATGTAGAAAAGACCATCTAGATTATATTAGTAAAACAGTGATCAGAGAACGAGAATTTGATAATATAAGGAAGACAAAACTTGATGTGAGCTACTGTCACTTTGCCAATTCTCCTTGTGTTTAGAATTTCCAGGATCATCAAAACATAAAGTGGCTAAGAAACTATTCTTAAAGAGACAACGCTGTCAAATCAAAGTGCAGCACGTACCTTATCTTCCATTTCACGTCGGATGTCGGTTGAGAAACAGTGTCCTCTGATAAATAGTTGCTATACACTTTGTGCATAAACTTGTGCAACTCGATTTTCCCCAAGCAATCGCAGTAGATTTGCCAGGCGTTGACCAAACACACGTGGATGACCAAGTGGAAAAACCGACATTCATACCTAAACCGTGAAATCTAATTTTACCAAACAAATAGGGGATCAAATTAAACGTACCATATACACGCCCCCCTGATATTCGGACCATATTCGGCCAGTTTGCGCATACGGCTCCGAAACGATACCCATTTGTCGTGGCTGTCCATAATCTCGGGTTCTCTCGTGTTGAAATTGATAGCCAAGCCGTGTATCGTAGAAACCTTGACAATGTCTTTCTCCGACTTATATTTCACCACCATTACACCGTTCTTATTCTGCATGGCTTTCCATTCTCTTCTGACCAGTTTCGGCTGGACGACTTCCATGGCAATCCGATCTTTTTCCTTCTGCACCCTTCAGTCAAGTATGTCTTCCTTTGTACTAGACTCTCAGCGAAGGAAACGCTTGTATACCATTTACTTGTGTAGAGGTGTCCGCCTTCGTCTAGTAAATTGTCCACTAGGCTCATCACAATAGAATCTGCGACAGGCCCGCTCGGTCTCGGATTTGGTTCCAGACCTGCGGCACACCATTGTGTTGTAAGTGTACCCTCCTACACTGCAAGTTTTAATAAGTCTCACGCCGTGTTTAGGCCTTTTAAAATGAGGGTACGTTCGTCTAAAGGGGACCTCCGACTCGTCGATGTATACGTCTCTGCCAGGTTTATACATAGCCATGCAATTCTTGTTAATGAGCGTCATCAGTGGGTTTATCTTTCAAAATCTGTCACTTCCATGATGTTTTGAATTGTCGGCAAAATGTAGTGAGTCAAAATCTCCTCAAATCTGTCCTTTGACATGTATTTCTGTAAAATAGGGTACCCTACAAAATTTGAGTTACTGCACTAGTACTCTATCAGTCGTGGCAATGGGAAATCACGCATTTTGAGACACAGACCAACAAATTTCTTTATTTCTTCGATGGTCGTCTTTCTCCATTCAATATTCTTTTGCTCTCCATAGATATTTGTTTGTTCTACAATCAACTCCCATACATCGACCATGAACAGTTTGTAAGAATCAAATGGCCCCTTGCACGTAAGCATAACGCCGCCTTGATCACCTGTCCACCGCTCGTCAAAAGGAAGTACAGAAGGTGGAACCACCGCTGACGACCATTCACCTTCACTATTCGAACAATGTCGTTCTTCATTGTCTGGGTCGCTGTCCCAAGAGACGAGATCTGCCGTCCTTCCATAGTAGTGTTCCAAGAGCGAGCGTCTATGATGTCTGTGATGATATCCATGCTGTCATCAAACAAACCAGTGAGTTCTTCTTCATCGTCGCTATTTACCAGGAAGCAATGGAGCAGAGCTTCAAACTCTTCATCTGAATACATGACGGCACTAAAATTTGAACTTCAAACATTGGAGGCAGCGTGTCAAGTTGTAGTAAGTGGAATACAGCGAAACATAAAAACATGAGAAAGAAAAGAAAACATTTAGGACGGAACATAATCGGTAATCTCGAGATGGAACGAAAGTAGAGATCAAAGCAAATAAGCGACGTGGGGCTGCTCCTCAATACATGTGTAGCATACCACCTAGTATACTGTAATCACGCTGATACGACTAACTATAGTCATCATAGAGAGCGAGTAGATATACTGAAACATTACGGTATTTCTGCAGCGTCCAAGCTCCTTGGAGTACCCGTGTTTATAAGGGGACAAATGGATTACCGACCTCATTCGCTGGACAGGAACTTTTCATAGGAGTATTGGTAACCGTTCGAAACCTGAAACTTCGGGCCACAGCCCACCTCGGCGGTTATTCAAAACATGCCTTTATAACGCTGTAAAAACCAAAATAAAACTATCCACAGATGCGCATATTTCTCGCCGGACAGAGCTCTTTCTTTGAACAATTAGTAATCATTCGTTGAATCAGTAACGATTACGCTATCGAATGATTACTAATAATCCAAAAAAGTTCTGTCCTGCGAGAAATATGTGCTTCTTCAACGCATGAAACGTCAAAAAAAGGCTTTTGGAAAACCGGCGACATAGGTTGCAGATTTCAGCCTCAGCTTTCGATTGGTTATTAACATTTCTATGAAAAAATTCTCTCCAGTGAATGAGATCGCGCTTCTTTTGTCCCCTTAGAACCACAAAGAACCCTGTTGGCTCGCAATTATCATATCATATTGAAATCGCCATTAAACGTATCGATACTCAAAAAAGTCTTTTTTCAACCGCTTTTAGCGGTGGTATAATATTATAGGTATAACCAATGATATAGACTGCTGTGCAACACTTGCGTCAGCCGAGAGTCGAACCCGCATCTCACTCTATCCGGGAGTGCGTGCTCTAACTCGTTGCAGTACTGACGCAATTTTCGTTCACCACTCTCTCTACGCAACAACGCATCTATCTGTCAGCAACCAACCGTCAATAGTCTGGCCCAGGTAGTCGCTATCGACACTGAACCCACTCACGCTGACAGATACTGGATATTGGATGATCAAACAGAGTGCTTTTTTATTTAACAGCTTTCACTGGTGATACTGGTATCCCATAATATCATACCACCGCTAAAGGGCTCAAATAAAAGGAAGATTCCGTTTGATCATCCGTTACCCAATATCCGTACCTGTCAGCGTGACCGGGTTCAATGTCGATACCGACTACCTGGGCGAAACCGTCGACGGTTGGTTGCTAAGAGATAGATGCGTTGCAGTGTAGAAATAGTGGTGGCAAAACAGACGTCGGTAGTGCAACGGTTCGAGCACGCGCCTCCGCATAGGGTGAAATGTGGGGTTCGAGTCTTGCCTGACGCAAAAGTTCTGCACAATACTACATCATTGAGTATACTCAAAAAAATGTTGAGAGTTACACCAAAAACACACTACTGCAGAAGATAGCAAAAGGGAACAAAATAGAAGTATTGTAGTAATGATGATGTGATGAAAAACAACAAGGAAGCAGTTATCAATAATAGCACCCATCGAAATCAATCTGCGAAAATTACTGGAGAAGAAGAGAAATATCACTTGAACTGAGAATGCTACGAAAAGGAGGGAACGAGAATGCCAGAACGACAGCGACATTACCGCATCGGTGTTCTCGATATTGCACTAGCACTTCCCATTTTTGAATTTCCCGCCTTGCTTACGATATCACTAATTCTTAGTCATACTTGATAAACTTCTAAAATTTCTATAATCATATAAGGACTAGACGGTACAATTCGTACAGTGCCGAGCGATGTAAAATTCACTCGCTACTTTAGTTGCGGCGTCGCGTCTCGTGGGGAAGCAGGCGCACGCAGCCAGACATACATGCGCGGACGTGCAGATGCAGCCTCCTGCGACTGCCGCACAAGCGACGGCGCGTCGCCGCTTGCCTATCAGCGGTGGTCCTCAGAGGGGTAATAGAACTTCGTAGTATGTGGCCGGAGCGGGCCTTGACCGAGAGTCATCGAGTTCGTATCAGAATATTAGTGGATAGTTAGAGGCCATAAACCCTTAGACATTAGAATAGAGTCTTCTGTACTCTAAAAAAGTCTGAACTCCTAAGATACACTACTAATACAAAGTTGCTTCGAATTATTTACGAAGTTCCATCGCTACGCAAAGTGCAGCATCATTTTTAACGTACAATGCATTGTTTGGGAGCGACGTGGCCGAGTGGTTGTAGTGCTCGTCACGGCGCACTTGCATCCGAGCTCCACTCGTCATTTCTCTCCGGTAGTCAACAACACCGCCCTATGGAACGTCTTAGCCAGGATTTACTCGAGATTGCAAGGCTACGTGTTCAACCAGTATTCTACGATTGTTTTGTCATCTAAACTGATAGCCATTGTGATCCTAAAACTCAAGATTTCTTGTACTTTACCTGCTATTTCGTAGTGTTATGACGTTTCAAATGTACCTAAGAGAATTGAGTGATAAGCAAAAAGTCGACCTCGGATGGGAGTTGAACCCGCGTTTCATTCATACCGAAGGCGCGTGATACAATTACAGCACCGAGGCACCGTTTCGCGACCACTCATTTTGTCACCTTAACTGGGCTTATGAAGCGATATTGTTTCCAAATCTCTTAAAGGTTGGTGGCTGATGCAATGATAGAGACTTCGAAGAACGAGTGGTTGCGAAACGGTGTCCCAGTGGTGTAGCGGTAGTGGGCGCCACCGGTTTGCTTGGGACGAGGGTTCAACTTCCGTCCAAGGTCAACATTTTGCTCATCACTCGATTTTCTTAGATACATTTGAAACATCACATCACTGCGAGAAAGCAGTGAAAACGTAAGAAATCTTGTTCTGGCACCTGTTAAAGACAGGAACTCTTTTTATTCAACCGCTTTATAGCGGTGGTATGATGTTACAAGTATACCCAATGATGTTGAGTTATGTGCAAAACTTTTGCGCCAGGCAGGAGTCGAACCCGCATTTCACCTTATCCGGACGCGCGTGTTCTAATCCATTGCACTACCGACGCTTGTTTTGCCACCACTCTTTCTAGGTTACAACTCAACAACTTTGGGTATATTTGTAATAACGTAGCACTGCTATAAAGCGGTTGAATAAGAAAAAATCTTGTCTTTAACATATATATCCAATATCTGTCAGCGTAACTGAATTCAACGTCGATATTGACTACCTAGGCCAACCGCTGACGGTTGGTTGCTGACAGATTGATGCGTTGTAGCGCAAGAGCTGTGGTAAAACAGGAGTCGGCAGTACAACGAGTTAGAGCACGTGCCCGAGAGAGGGTGAGATGCGGGTTCGGGTCCCGCCCGACGCGGAAGTTGTGCACGTCACTTTACTCCATTCGGTATATTCATTTAGGCATCTCTCAACCAGAAAATACCCTTATTGCAGTCTCTTATGTCATATTTACCCATCGCCTGACGATTAAACTCTCCTTTTTGGCGATAAAAATTAACAGGCTGAATTCCGCGGTTGCGCCGTTGGGTCCACGGAAGTCATCTAGTGAAGATTCATTAGAAAATTACACCATACTATCGTTGTAATGCGCTGAGCTGGCCGCCTGCCGCTTAAAATCAGCGTGGAACTCAACGATTCATCGAGAACTGAGAACGGAGGAAAAGTATAATCACCATTAGGACATCACCAGGTCGCACCGATTTTCCCAGATTCAAATTTCCCGCCTGTCTTACGATATGATTGATTTTCAGGCACTGACGGAAGCAAATGTTGATAAGTTGCCAACATTTCCTGGCTCTGATCCAATTTCGCTACGTCCTCAGCAAGTTGTGGGATCTTGTGCTATGAGAAGAGGTCAGTGGTGGTCTTGTGGACGCCTATCGTGGTTCTCGGGATTTCTCTAAAATCACACGCATAATTTTGGGAAACGGTCGACGACGGGGTCCGTGATCACGTACATTTAGGGGGCCGCCGAAGACGTCGATGGCGTTCGTCGTACGAGTAGCTCCTGAATCCTTTTGGACGAGCGGCATCCCTCGGATCTCATAGTTCCGCCGCCGTTCGCGATCCAGAAACGGATTTACTGGCGACGGTGCTCGGTTCCATTTCATCAGAGACTTTGCTAGCCCCCGTAATAGGACGATCGATCCGGGGGTGAGTGCCGAAAAATGGTCAATTTTCGAATTTCCTGGATTCCTGGATCTTGTCGCTTGACGTAGTTGCGTAACTTGCTTCTGACCTGACGACTGTAAATAAGTGAAGGTCCGTCCCCGCACCATAAATCCCTTCCCGAGCCCTTTTTTTGTCTTGACTCTTTTAGTGACTGAAGGTCCCATCTTCTGCCGCATGTCTTTTCCACCCATTTGTTCTATTTCCACTCTCCTGCACTCCTGGAAATCAAGCGATAATCCAGTCATTGATTTAGATGGTGATTTGACACTCGGAGTTCCCGATCTCAACAGCGGTGCCGCCTTCGTACCGCGTGGAGTTCACGGTGTCACGATCATCTCTGTTCGGTGATGGATCAGCACCTTGAGGTTGGTCTGCTAGCTAACCCGTTCGGAACCGAGCCTTTCTTCTCGCTGCGCGGACGTTTTCCTTTAGGATCCTAATATCCATTCAAGAGCTTAGATCGCGGCGATTTCAGAACTATGTTCGGTTTTTGAAAAGGCCTTTTTAATCCCTAAGGGACGACGTGTACCAGGTGAGATAGACACTGTTTGAAGACCTTTCTCGCTGCAGAGAACCTTTCTCTTAGACCCCCTTCGTATTCATTCGAATGCCTAAATCTCTGCGATTTCGACGATGTGTTTGTTTTCTGAAAAAATTTTTATATTACGTGGTAGCAGCGAAAATAAAGCTATGCTTCATATTCAGTCTACTTTATTTGCTCAGCTGGAGCTTCTATACGCTATTCATTAAATTCTTACTAATCATTTGATTGCTCAGATCTCGAGGAAGTCGACGCTGTGATTGGTTTTTTGAAAGGTTGTAGTAGAAAGTTGTACGAGCAGAAAAAAGATAGAGAACATTAAGACTATGTTTTCACTTAAAGCTTTTATCGTTCTGAAAAGTTACATATATGCATACATATCTATATATCTACATATATATATATATATATATATATATACGTATATATGCATATGTATATGTATATATATATTTATATATATGCCTGAAAATATACGATCTTGTGTAGAAAATCATGGAGTGTCAGAGTAACACAAAAAATCTAAGATTTTACTTCTCAAATGGAGGAAAAATCCTAATTGAATATTGAAAATCACGCACCTCTTGTGAGTCGCGCTGTGCGGTCGATCAGCTGTCGCCCTGGAAGGGTTGATATGCTCTAGCAGCGAGAATAAGATACGTTTCACCGTTGGGTTACCTCGTTTGGTCGGTTAGCGTTTGCGAACGGATTCTCGATTGACCTTTGATTATCACTCGATAGCTAAAGGTCTAGTGAAAGGTTGGTGCCCGACGAAGATCCCAGTGTACCAGTTTTTGTACACTTGGTCTTCAGCGGGTTAATGCCGACCCAAGTCTAAATCTTATGTATCCCCGTTCCCTCTAGAATGAATATTACCTCATGCACCAGAGATATTTTTGAGTTCCGGGGGAGAAATTGCCAAGTTTCACGTAGCAAAATTGTAGAAGCGACTTTGTTCTGTCGTCCTGTAGATGTTAGATTTATTCCAGTATAGTCAGGAAAAATGTTTTGAGCCATTTCAAGGTTGGTATGTCAGTGGCTTGCGTACGTTTCGTCGATTTTGCCCGCCTCATGAGAGCCACACGCCCCGCAAGTCTCCCTACTGATAGTAGGGACAAGGAAACGTTATTTTAGGTGATTTGTCTGAATAACACCCAATGCCATTGACTGTTGTAGAATGGTAAACATCAAATTTCATTCTATCTTGCAGTATCAGCGTTTCCTCCTCCCTACTATCACTAGGGAGCCCTGCGCAGGGCGTGTGGCTCTGATGAGGCGGGCGAGACGTGCGAAAGCAAGCCACTGCCGCGCCAACATGGGGATGGCTTAAAACATTCTCTCTGACTCTATTAAATGTTTATAGCGAGGTTTTATAAACAAGTTGAATGAATGTATGGTGTATTGGCTTCGTTTATGTTCGTCTTCTATCATCAAACAGACCCGTTGTGAAGTTGCGGCGAGTTAACCTCTTCGAGTGCGAAACGTGGTCCTTTTTTCGCTTTAGGAGATTTACAAAAGTCTCGCCTCAAACTGAATGAAGTACCAGAGTTGTCAGGAATCTGGCTATCGACTGAATGAGTCTTACTAGAAACCTTATAGTGTACAAAGCACTCCGAAGGTGGAACATTATTTTCTCTTTGTCGTTAATGCATCGCAATGAAAAGGTTTCTTATCGTGAAATCAAGCCTATTGTAAGAATTTTCGTTCTCGAGCTACCGACTTACTACCAAAACTAGTAAAAAAGCCTGTTTGGCGAAAAAACTGGACAACCGCGGGTGCAAAGTACACGATACACTCCGGTGATAACACGTATTTTTGGCTTCAGGGCACCATGAAGGCCTTGTTCAGAATTTTGGCCCCGTGTTAGAATCATCATTTTTCCGGCTATCGAATGATGAACTAAAGGTCTAACAAAAGTTCGTGTTTAATGAAAAAAGCGACGGAAAAGCCAGTGTACCGTTTTTGGTCTGTTTGGTTCCTGAAGGGTCAATGCAGACCTAAGTCTATGCTTTCTGTATCGCATTACCGCTAGAGGGACTGCTACCTTCGACTGCTGGAGAGAATTTCACATGAATGAGTTGGTCAATTTCTCTCCATCGAGGTTCTTTTTCAACAAATTGTGGTCTGTCCCATTCTTGCTGACCCGAAGTTCTCTTTTCACTCGTATTTCTCAAAATATAGTGGTCACATTTTGGGCTAGAAAACTTTCTAAGGTTTTATCTCTCTTTGAAATTTCTGCTATTACTTCGCTTGAGGTGCTAGTGCTGGAACTCGTCATTAGAAATGTCTAACTAATCAAGTCGGATTTCTTTTTTATGTGACCGCTTCATAGCGGTGGTATGATTTTACAACTATACACATTGATGTAGAGTGATGTGCAAAACTTTCGCGTCAGCCGGGACTCGAACCCACATCTCACTCTATCCGGGAGCGCGTACTTTAACCCGTTGCACTACTGATGGTCGTTTTGACTGATTAAATAGTTTTTGCATCTGTAAGAATCAGTTGGAATAGGGCGGCGGTGGCTGAGTCGCTAGTGATAGTGGGGACGGGGTTGATCTTACGGAGCGAAACTGTAGTCGTACTTCATCCTTTTTTACTCTTATGAAGTGCTATGCAGACCTTATTACAAATACCTATGGATAAAACGTAATACATTGTATTATACTTATACAATGAAGCCCTTGTATCGCGTTGGTTATTGAGGTTAATAGCTAATGTAAAAAGTCGGTACGTTCCTGGCTTTTTTAATTTAATTTTTGTTTTGCAATCAATTTGCATGATTTTGGTATCGTTCAATTGCGCATTTTCTTGCGAACATTTTGGTATGCAATTTGCCTATACTTGCTTTAAGGTGGAGCTGTCCTGGGAAAAAATTCGCTTGCTACTCATACACGAATGGCGCGTAGGGGAAAGTGCTAGTGAAGCGGCGCGCACGATTAATGGAGCTTGGGTTTATGATACGGTTGCTGAAATGGTGGCTAGGAAGTGGTTCATAAAGTTGAAAGCTGGAGAAAACATTCTGAAGGACCAGTCGCTCTCGGGCCGTGCACAGGAATTTGATCGTCAAACTGTGCTTCCTACATTAATCTTTCGCGCTGCTTAACCCTTTCAGGACCACGTGTACCACTCGTGGTACGCGCGCATTTTCGTGGTTTCACCGTTCGATAATAGACTTTTCATCAGACTTTAAGTAGTCTTTCTATAGCTGGAGAAATTGCGGTTCTGATGGTGTGCTTGAATTTTGGAAACGGTGTTTTCTCTCTTCGGCAGTGCATAGTGTGATTTGCACTCGTGTTTACATGGTCTTTTAGCAAAACATAGATCTTTCACAAAAG